ATCTGTACATCGTCGAACAACATGTTCCATGATAGGTGGGTGGTAAGACTGGCATAAAAGGCCGAAATCAAGGTGTCAAAAGTTCACAAGGACCATAGCCAACGCAAGATGTTGAGAATTGGCCATTTGGGTCATGACATGACCTGAAAAACAAGGTCATATCTCCGAAACCAAAAATCACAGAAACTTGAAAGTTTCAGTGGACATCAAGAAAGGATAGAGGAGCAGCTATACGAAAAACCAGCCTTCTAGCTCTAAAAATGTTAAGTGCAGAGCAGAAAGACTACCTGGGGGGGGGGTGGCAACCCCCCCCATGTGCGGGCGAGGGTTAAAATGGTCAAGCATGTGTTTCGTTATGCCTGAGGCCAAAAAACTGAAGGGCCGATGACATCAGCGTGCTCATCTGGACTACCTAGTCCATGTTCGAGATGAACACACGCGTCCCAACCCTAAAACGGTCCCATTAAGGCGAAAGAGAAGGCCTCCGTTTCGTCCCTCTTTTTTCCTAGCAAAAGGCCAGGGTCACGGTATTGCGGTGTTATAGGCCTCCAGACGCTGACCAGGATGCGATTGGTGATCCAGAAACAGTTTTGGGACGCAGAATGCTTCTCCACGAAGACCTGGAAGGAATATCCGCGTTCTAACTCAACTCAAACCGCAAGCATGAACACATTTTTGGAGCAGAAAATGGCATCCGGAAGGTCGTAGGCCCATCTTCAAGCGAGACACTGAATCGGTGAACAGGTCAATAAAAGCTAAAAAGCGGTGCCAGGAGAGTGTGGCAGGCATCTGTCGCAAGATCACATGTCAGGCAACTCATGGGATCAAAAATTTCATGAAAATACGTTGGGGATATTGAAATCGTGGCTCGTCGAAGCGAAGCGCCGTTCCAGCCTCCAGGAGCTCACCGCGAATGTTAAGTCAGTAGGTATGGGCTAACTTCAAGCCTGCTACGCTGCGAAACATGCCGGTTGGCATGCCGCATCATGTAGTCATGTGTTTGACCATGAAATGAGGAGCACATTGACGTGTCATTAACCCTCGCCCGCACATGGGGGGGGGGGTGGTTGCCACCCCCCCCCAGGCAGTCTTTCTGCTCTGCACTCAACATTTTTAGAGCTAGAAGGCTGATTTTTCGTATAGCTGCTCGTCTTTCCTTTCTTGATGTCCACTGAAAATTTCAAGTTTCTGTGATTTTTGGTTTCGGAGATATGACCTTGTTTTTCAGGTCATGTCATGACCCAAATGGCCAATTCTCAACATCTTGCGTTTGCCATGGGCCTTGTGAGCTTTTGACACCCTGATTTCGGCCTTTTTTGCCAGTCTTACCTCCCACCTATCATGGAACATGTTGTCCGACGATGTACAGGGGTCAAGGTCAGGGTCAAGGTCAACCTAGGTCATCTAATATAATTGCGTTTTAGGCAAGCTGAATTTACTTTTTGTGAAGTTTTTTGACTGCATTTTTGGTAGAAGCTTCTCAGATCATGATTTCATGTGATATGGACCCAAAAACAATCGGTGCACACATCAGTATACACACAGGCACACACAGACATACAAACACATATAATTGACCTTGACCTAACTTGACCTGAAATGACCTCAGCAGCAAAATTCTGGTCGGATAGTGTGACAAAGAGGTTCTAGCTGGCTTGGCACCAGAAAACAGCATCGTCATCGGTATTTGATAAGCAGCGCACTTGATATCCAACGGTGACCCAAAACAGCAACATTTTTTAGTTTGACCTGACCTGGAAGGTCAATGACTGACCTGAGAAGGTAAAACTGGGTATCATTGGATTCGTCTCTTCCCAAAGAATCTTTTTGGTCTTTACTGCTAAGCTCTATCTCCAACAGGAACGAAATGGCGCGGGGGGGGGGGTGGCAACCACCCCCCCCCATGTGCGTTCTAGGATGGGAAAATGGCATGTGCGGGCGAGGGTTAATATATCAAAACGCAATATGCTCTGTTTTACATGCAAATTGAATGTGAGAACGAACTTATGGGACACCGTGTATGTATCATTAACCCGGTTTACATAGGGTTTGTTGCAAGCTTATATCTCCGTCCGTGATGTTGCAGAAGATGCCAATGGTGCTTAACCCACGAGCCGCTGGGGGGGGGGGCATAAAGTTGCCCCCCTTTACGTTTTGTGAAATATCTCCGAAACCTGATGAGCTACGAACGTGAAACTTGGCATAGCTTCAAATGAATACCTAGGCAATGTTTGAGGAAAGTTTGGTGGTTGTAGCGCCTAAGATGACGTCACAGTGACGTCATAAAGTTTTGTCGTTTTCCGATATGGACCGTTTCTGATGACGCTGAGCATGAAACTCGACTGTAAATGAACTAGACAGCACCTGCTGTCATCCTAAAACATCTTACTACACTTCCATCTAGTTTCTGACCAATAATCGGCCCTTTATATTCGGTCCCATATATGTGATGCATCGTGAGGAATATGAGAGTCGCAAATCTATAATTTCACTTATGACGTCACTGTGACGTCATTTCAAATGGGATCGACATCAAATTTGGACACAACCTCGGCTAGGTATTCAGGAAGATGTGTGCAAAGTTTCGCTTCTCTATCTCTTCGCGTTGCGACGATATCGTCGCAGAAGTAAAGGGGGGGCAACTTTATGCCCCCCCCCCAGCGGCCGGCGGGTGGCGCGGAGGCCCAGCGGCCGCCGGGTTAACAATTTACAAAATGATCCCATCTAAATATTTGAAGACCACTGCATCGAAATTATCGCCAAATTAACAAGCTAAGAGCCTCGTCAAAAATGCTATGTAAACCGGGTTATTGTTGATTTTTATCCCACAAACAGTTAACGATTGATTCGTCGTTTTTACTCATAGCGGATGGTATTCCGGTACCTATGAATATCTGAAATAATAACAACGCCTTACGTTAACGGCCAATGTACCTTCTTACACCTGATTTCCCTATCCCTCCGGTACTACTACCATCACGTCTACTGAACCGAAACCTGTCGGCTACCCATCATGTTGGCAGCTCCAGCCGACCGGAAGGTGAGTCGTAACGACTGAGCAGCCGTATAGTGCAATGTGGTGAACCGTTATTAGTTATGAACCACTACCTACTATTTGGCGAAAATGCATTGCATAGCTTAATGCCATATGCAATGTGAACAAAACATCACAAATCATTATAATTAGATAAATAAAAGAAGTTGACCTTTTCCTCGACATCAAAAATGTAAAAAGCCGAATAATATATTTAAAAAAAAAAAACGGTGAGCTTTCGGCCACTGGCCTTTATCAAACCAACGTGATAACAATATTAAAAGACTTTTAACATTTTAACATTGTTATCACGTTGGTTTGATAAAGGCCAGTGGCCGAAAGCTCATCGTTTTTTTTTTAATATATTATTCGGCTTTTTTACATTTTTGATGTCGAGGAAAAGGTCAACTTCTTTTATTTATCTAATCATATTCAATATGTTCCTCGCTCGAGCACTTAGTAATATTACCACAAATCATTGTATAATTTGAATTCACATAATGTATCTAAATTACGTCATATCAAGTCAGCACCACTCTTTGGCAGTATCCGTCACGTTGGTGTCCTAATATGTCTCCTGTCTTTTTCTAATGCCATCCAGCTCCTGCAACCCGTTCCACATCGGATCCTGCCGGCGGCCCGAGCCCGACTCCGATGGTCCCGCACCTCCGACAGTCCAGCCGAGCCGGGAGAGAGCGCCGACGACCCGCCCCCGCCGTCCGAGACGCAGCGGCGGGACACCGATCATGAGACCGTTGACGGAGAACTAGGTGAGCTTCACCCTCACCCCACTAAAGGTGAAGCACGAGGCCTCCCTGACCGTCCGACCCAGCCTGTGCTGGCCTTGTTTCCGGTCTCCAAGGGTCGGAGTTTTCGGCGGAATTGGTACAATCAATTCCCGTTTCTGAGCTATCATGTTGATACTGATACGGTGACTTGCCACAAATGTCAGTCAGCTTTGTCAAAGAAGCTTATCAATGCCGAACAAATAAAGAAAGCATTCGTGACAGGTTCAAGTCGTGGAAGAAGGCCACCATTAAGGCCCTATAACGTAGGGAATGTTATGGATTTTTATTTAGTTGTCTGTTACTGTCGAAAAGTAGCAGTGCTTTAGCTGGGTTTCGCTTGATTGCGTCGCATTTCGTATGAAATGCGTCAGTTTGTGTTCGGCGTGGTCTTTTCGGTTTTTGGTCTTACGCAGGATTATTGTTGTACGTTGTTCGGTGGAAGATGGTCGCACATGGCAAAATAGACTCTTGCTGAGGACTAGGAGTTTATTTGGAACAATTTTGGTGCCATCGACCCGGGACCAGGAACCTTTTGATTTATTGATGTGATTAGACTGGAGTGGTTCCATTTCCGATAATGAGTGCAGAGCTACTAAGGAAGAGGGCGGCAGCGCGAGGATGGGTAAGTCGCTGCCGCCGTAAGCTGGAAGAGCTTTTAGAGTGCAAGGACTTGAACATTGAAGCCATTCAGGCTGCAAAGGCTGACTGTGAGAAAAGACTGAATATTTTAGATGAAGTCCAGTCAGAAGTTGAACTGAGTTTTCCCTCTGAGGCAGAGATGATGTCTGACATTGAGAGCGCTGCCGTACTAAGAGAGGGAATTTCTGAAGTGCTTTGCAAAGCCAATGCTGCCCTGAATCTAAAGGCACCAAGCTCTGTGGGCTCATCAGGTCACCTGCAGCTCCCTAAATTAGAATTGCCCAAGTTTGATGGAAATGTTCTCCAGTGGCAGTCTTTTTGGGAATCTTTCGAAGCTGCAGTGCATGGCTCTGACTTGCCTGATGTGTCTAAGTTTGCCTATCTCAGGTCATTCCTGATTGGTGAGGCCAAAGAGAGTGTTGCTGGTCTGCCGCTGACTGGGACCAACTACAAAAGTGCCTGTGAGTTGCTGAAGGCGCGTTTTGGAAGGATGGAGATGGTGATTTTCTCCCACATTCAAGAACTCCTCTCTGTTCCAGATGCCTCGTCCTCTGAAGTCCAATCCCTCCGAGAGCTGCAAGATCGCCTCCTTGTCCACATCCGAAGCCTGGCATCGTTGGACGTCGACGGTGACAGGTATGGCATTATTCTTGTTCCTATGATCCTTTCCAAGCTGACCCCTGACATTCGTCTTGAGTGGGCCCGTGAGGGCTCAGGCAGGGAAGCAGACCTGGACTGGCTGCTGAGCTTCTTGTCGAAGGAGATCAGCCGCAGGGAGCGATCCTCCGCATTCAGCAAGCTCCAGGTGGCTTCAGCTCAACAGACAACTGCATCTGGTGAAAGTCGAACAAAGGCCACAAGCGGTCCTCAGCATAGGAGGAAGAGGGAACAGCGAGAGAGGATGCCAGCAGCTGCAGCTCTGCAGACAGGTGCAAGGCCTGTATGTGCTTTCTGTGGACAGGCCCATCACCCTGAGGTATGTGTGAAGCTGCAGCCCCTGACAGTACCAGACCGCAGAGACATGATCAGGCAGGCAGGACTTTGCTTCCGCTGCCTGCGTGCGGGTCATGTCGCCCGTAGATGTAGTACAGTGTGTGCTGAGTGTGGTGGGCGACATAATGTGGTGTGCTGCTTCAGGATTCATGGAGGGGGTGTGCAGCGTGAGCATGATGGTGCTGCAGGTGGCAGCGACAGCATGCTCCGCAGCAGTGACTCTAACCCAGTGCAGCGCCCATCACTGGCTTGTCAGAGTGGTGGACATGAGAGGAGTTGTACTGTGCTGCCTACTGCCCAAGTAACTGTGCTAGGTCAGGATGGAAGGCGTGTCCAAGCCACAGTGCTTTTTGATTCAGGCAGTGACAGAACTTACATTAGTGATAAGCTCGTAAAGGCAGCTGAACCTGTGTGGGTAGGCTCGGAGGCTGTGTCCTATGCTGCTTTTGGAGGGACCGGCTCATCCTCTAAGCACAGGGACGTGTACCATGTGAACATGATTGGCTCTAATGTGACCTCTCCATCTGTCCACTCTGTCCAGGCTATCAGGGTTCCAGTCATCTGCCTGCCTCTGCAGCGCCCGCTCTTGCCTCCTGATGTCCTCCAGTCCTTCAGCCATCTGGAGTTGGCTGATCCTCCGTCCGACAGGCAGCTGTCTGTGGACTTGCTGGTAGGGCTGGACAGCTACTGGGACTTCATCCGACAAGGTGAGATCAGGCTGAGCGGGGGACCCGTGGCTCAGGAAACCTCCCTGGGGTGGGTCATCTCAGGCAAGGTAAGTGGGAAGTCGTCTGGTGGCGTCACCAGTCAGCTGCTATGTCTCGGAGACATTCACGAGCACTCTCTTCGCCGGCTGTGGTCTCTCGAGGGCATCGGCGTCTGTGACTCGGATGATGCAGAGCAGGACCAGGTTTTGAAGGAGTTCAGCTCCTCGGTGGTGAAGGCTGATGGCAGGTATCAGGTCGCCCTGCCGTGGAAGGCAGGTGCCGCCGAGCACCTGATGGACAACCGACCCGCCGCCGAGGCGCGTCTGCAGGGTCTGTCGCGCCGCTTGGCGAGGGATCCGGAGCTTGGGGCAGCATATTCTGAGGCGCTGCAGGAAATGGAGAGCGCGGGCGTCATTGAGGAGGTGCCCAGTCATCAGCTGGACGTCTCGCGCCCGACGTTCTATCTGCCACATCGCCCTGTCGTTAAAGAGTCTAGCGAGTCGACAAGGGTGAGGCCGGTTTTTGATGCTTCCGCTGCCGGTCCCAATGGCGTCTCCCTCAATGAGTGTCTGGAGGTGGGGCCTTGTCTCATTCCGTCGTTAGTGGATGTGCTGCTGAGATTCAGACGCTGGCAGGTCGCAGTGACTGCAGACATCTCTAAGGCTTTCCTCCAGCTAAGTCTCAAAGTGGAAGACAGGGACGTCCACAGGTTTCTGTGGGTCCACGAGGGAAGAACACGTGTGATGCGCTTTCGCAGGGTAACGTTCGGCGTGAGGAGCAGCCCGTTCCTGCTAAACGCTACTATCCGGCATCACCTGTCCAAGAGCGCTCCGTCCAGGGCTGTACGTGAGATGGCCGAGAACTTTTACGTCGACGATCTGCTGTCTGGGGCCGATTCCGAGGAGGAGGCTAGCTCGCTGCTTAGTCAGGCTCAGGACGTGATGGCTGGAGCGGGAATGACTTTGACAAAGTGTGTCTCCAACAGCGCAGTTGTATTTGACAAGACTCACGCCGCTAACGGCTCTGGCGAGCGTGAGAGCTCCAAGGTTCTGGGAGTCATGTGGCGCAGCGGTGAGGACGTGTTCTCGTACGAGGGCCTCACCGTCGCCGCTGATGTAACGCCGACCAAACGTGTGGTGCTCAGTTGTATTGCCCGGCTTTTCGACCCGCTGGGGTTCGTGGCTCCGTTTGTGATGGTGGCCAAGAGTCTGTTCCAAGAGCTTTGGCAACTGGGGCTCGCCTGGGATCAGGTCATCCCGGCGGACCGTAGTCAAATCTTTTCAGATTGGCTGAGAGGTGTTGACTCGCTGAAGCAGCTGCGGATACCGCGCTGCTACTCGACTTCCGGCTGGCGACACGGTGAGGGTGTGTCCCTACACGCCTTCGGTGACGCTTCTCCCAGAGGGTACGGAGCGGTTGTGTACCTCCGTACAGCCAGGCCTGATGGTTCCGGCGAGGTCAGACTGGTGCTGGCAAAGGCGCGGCTCGCGCCGTTGAAGCGAGTGACGGTGCCGCGACTCGAGCTGCTGGGCAGCCTACTGGCAGCTCGCCTCGTCGCTCTCGTGCGCCAGGCACTGAGACTTCCCGAGGACACGGTAATCAGGTGCTGGTCGGACTCGATGATTGCGCTGGGCTGGATAAGGGGAGATCCACAGCGCTGGAAGCAGTTTGTGGCCAACAGAGTGCGTTCCATTCAGAGTCTGACGACTCCGTCCGACTGGGGCCACTGTCCGGGGGATGAGAACCCTGCTGACTTGACGACTCGAAGGGTGTCGGCTGCGGAACTGCTTGAATCCGAGCAGTGGTGGAGCGGCCCGAGCTGGTTGGCCTCTCCTCGGGCTCGGCCCGACAGTGGCGAGGCTTGTGACGAGCCGACTGAGTCTGGTCAGGTGACTAGTGTCCCAGTGGAGGTCAGATCAGAGACAGCGGAGGCCGTTGGCGGCAGCTGTCTGGTGGCTGGTACAGGTGAGCAGCCTGTGTTCTGCACGACCCGCTGGTCGTCTTTATCGAAGGCGGTCAGAGTCGTGGGCTGGGTGCGCAGATTTTGTAACAACGCGCGAAACGCGCGTCAGAAGTGCGCCCTTCCCGACCTGTCCTCTGATGAGGTCGTGTCTGCCCGGCTGGTGCTGCTACGGGAGGAGCAGCGGCTGGCGTTCGCTGCTGAGCTGAAAGCGCTGCAGCAAGGCAAAGAGGTTGCGAGGAGCTCGAGGGGGAGCATTCATTCTGGCCAGGGTTCATAATGTCCAGGGTACGCTATGCCCAGTGTCAAAATGGCCAGTGCCTTGAATGGGCCAGAGTTCATAATGTCCAGGGATTGCATGGTCCAAATGTGGCCAACTGGCTGCAGATAGGGTAAATTCAAAGAGGCCAGGGTCCATAATGTCCAGGGCACGATGTGTCCAGTGTTCAAAATGGCCAGGGTTCATGATGTCCAGGGCACGATGTGTCTAGTATTCGAAATGGCCAGGGTTCATAATGTCCAGGGCACGATGTGTCCAGTGTTCAAAATGGCCAGTGCCTTGAATGGGCCAGAGTTCACAATGTCCAGGGATTACATAGTCACTGAAAGTGACGTCATTATGTAAAAAACACGGAATCAGCTCAATGCAAAGCAGTGCAGTGCCGAAGGCAATGCCTTAGGAGAGATTACAGGCAATCTATTCATGCGAGAAACTATTTCCTTATCCCTGGTAGGCAAACATCATTACCTTAGGTTAGGTTAGGTTAGGTTAGGTTAGGTTAGGTTAGGTTAGGTTAGGTTAGGTTAGGTTAGGTTAGGTTAGGTTAGGTTAGGTTAGGTTAGGTTAGGTTAGGTTAGGTTAGGTTAGGTTAGGTTTGGTTGGGTTGGGTTGACTATGTAATCCCTGGACACTATGAACTCTGGCCCATTCAAGGCACTGGCCATTTTGAACACTGGACACATCGTGCCCTGGACATTATGAACCCTGGCCATTTCGAACACTGGACACATCGTGCCCTGGACATTATGAACCCTGGCCATTTCGAACGCTGGACACATCGTGCCCTGGACATTATGAACCCTGGCCATTTTGAACACTGGACACATCGTGCCCTGGACATTATGAACCCTGGCCTCTTTGAATTTACCCTATCTGCAGCCAGTTGGCCACTTTTGGACCATGTAATCCCTGGACAATGTGAACACTGGCCAATTCAAGGTACTGGCCAATTCGAGCACTGGACACATTGTGCCCTGGACATTATGAACCCTGGCCTAAATAATACGCACCCAGCTCGAGCGTGCACTCTCTGACTCCATTCCTCGATGGTGATGGACTTCTGCGGATCAGAGGCCGGCTGCAGCAGTCCGACTTGTCCTATGATGAGCGGCATCCGATTCTGCTTCCCAAGGGATGGGTCGCCGAGCTGCTGGTTCGGGACCAGCACCGCCTGATGAATCACTGCGGTGTATCTACGCTCATCTCCGCTGTCCGAGCAGCGTACTGGATAGTGGGTCTGCGCTGCCTCGCTAAGCGAGTCAAGCGCTTCTGTGTTAGTTGTAAGCGGCAGGATGCTCTAGCCTGCAACAAACCGGCGGCGCCGCTGCCGCGTGACAGAGTGACCCGAGCGCCACCGTTCGCCGTCACAGGGGTGGACTTTGCGGGGCCCATTTTCGCTGTAGATTTTCCGCGTCGCAAGTTTTATGTGTGCCTCTTTACCTGCGCTGTGACGCGCGCGGTTCATCTTGAGCTCACAGCATCTTTGTGCCAAGCAGAGTTCTTGATGGCCCTCAGGCGGTTTGCGGCCCGAAGGGGACTCCCGTCCGTTATTTACTCCGATAACGCGCGGACGTTTTGTGGAGCCGACGCGATGCTGACGCGCTACTTTGGACACCTCGCTCCCAAGTGGAAATTCATTGTGCCGCGCTCACCGTGGTGGGGCGGCTGGTGGGAGCGACTGGTTCGCACGGTGAAGGTGGGTCTGCGGAAGTCGTGCGGCTCCAGGTGTCTCTCTCGCACCGAGCTGGAGACGGTGCTCCTTGAGGTTGAGGCCTGCATCAATTCCCGACCGCTCACTCCGGTGACCGACTCATTGGAGGGTGACAGTCCGCTGACGCCCTCCCATTTTTTGACGGGACGCGGCACAGGCTTTCAGTCGAGAGTGCTCGAGGATCCGGAGGCAGTGAACGCCAAGATGCTTTGTGACAGAGCGCGTGTGAGGGAGAGACGGCTGAACCGCTTTTGGTCTGTTTGGCAGACTGAATACCTGCGGACCCTCCCTCAGTCGGTCCGTAGGTTCAGAGAGCACGGTGAGTTACGGCAGGGTTCAGTAGTACTGATCAGAGAGGACAACCTTCCCCGTATGAAGTGGATGATCGGGGTGGTAACTAAACTGTTTCCGGGCAGGGACGGTCTGGCTAGGTCGGCCCAGATCAGGACCCAGGGGGGACAAGTGAAGACCCGAGCCGTCCAGCGATTGCATGATATGGAGGTATAGGACCCGTGAATGTACCCACCTGACACTACCTGTCTTGCCGCCTGGTCACGAGTTTGCCATGGAAATGCTCCTGTGTTCCTCCCTCTGCCTGGTAGGTCACACCAGTTAGAGCAGCGTTGTATGTTTGTTTGGATGGTGTTACATCCAAAGGCGGGGAGGATGTTATGGATTTTTATTTAGTTGTCTGTTACTGTCGAAAAGTAGCAGTGCTTTAGCTGGGTTTCGCTTGATTGCGTCGCATTTCGTATGAAATGCGTCAGTTTGTGTTCGGCGTGGTCTTTTCGGTTTTTGGTCTTACGCAGGATTATTGTTGTACGTTGTTCGGTGGAAGATGGTCGCACATGGCAAAATAGACTCTTGCTGAGGACTAGGAGTTTATTTGGAACAGGGAACATTACGACGCGGAAAATATCAAAATAAACCCTAGAATATTTTTACTTAAAAAATTGTGACGGTTGTGACAAATAATGTAGCGTACATTTTAATTTTTACAAAGATTTTCCATATTCCTATCCTAGCTATCGGATTGATTTGGACATGTTCTTGTACATACGGGCCCAACATAATCAAACCTTACCTAACCTGACCTACTGATGTTTGCCTACTGGGGGATAAGGAAAAAGCCGCTCCCAGGAATAGATTGCAAGCAATCGTAAGTCAAATATTTTTAGGTTAACCCGGCGGCCGCTGGGCCTCCGCGCCACCCGCCGGCCGCTGGGGGGGGGGGGGCATATTTTACTTCTGCGACGATATCGTCGCAACGCGAAGAGATAGAGAAGCGAAACTTTGCACCCATCTTCCTGAATACCTAGCCAAGGTTGTGTTCAAATTTGGTGTCGATCCCATTTGAAATGACGTCACAGTGACGTCATAAGTGAAATTATAGATTTGCGACTCTCATATTCCTCACGATACATCAGATATATGGGACCGAATATAAAGGGTCGATTATTGGTCAGAAACTAGATGGAAGTGTAGTTAGATGTTTAAGGATGACAGCAGGTGCTGTCTAGTTCATTTACAGTTGAGTTTCATGCTCAGCGTCATCAGAAACGGTCCATATCGGAAAACGACAAAACTTTATGACGTCATTGTGACGTCATCTTAGGTGCTACAACCACCAAACTTTCCTCAAACATTGCCTAGGTATTCATTTTAAGCTATGCGAAGTTTCACGTTCGTAGCTCATCAGGTTTCGGAGATATTTCACAAAACGTAAAGGGGGGCAACTTTATGCCCCCCCCCTAGCGGCTCGTGGGTTAACCCGCGCCCGGCTGGGGGTCCTGGATTTCCACGCCCTGCTGGGGGGGTGTTTGAACACCCCCCCCCCCTTGTAACTCGGCTCCTGGGCCACGTAGCGATACGCGGAAGGTGGCGTTCGAAAGAGCGTCAAAAATAATGACGAAATCACTTTGGTCAATTTTTTGGTAAGGTCAAAGGTCAGGTCACTAGAGGTCATTGAAGGCAAAATTTCGCCGATTTCCAGGTCGAATGTCGAAAATTTCCAAAAAGCCAACGCATAACTCGGTAACCAATAGAGCTACAGCGCCGCGGAAAAGTGCATTCGATAGCCCTATTAACGCCCTTTCTGATTAATTTTCTCAGATTTGACCTAACTTCAACGGTTTTGCCTGCAGGGGGCAAAAACTGCAAAAATAGCCGATTTTTTTCGGAAACAGTTTTTCTGCAATAACTTTTGACCCAAGCCTTGTACGAGCTTACTTTCACCGGCATCGTGTTCCTCTTGTCAAGACGCATCGAATGAACTATAACTTGACCTTGAAAGGTCAACTTGAAAATTTGACCTCAGGTCAAGGTCATGACCTGACCGGAAAGGGTCATGTTGCATATCAGCCGATCCGTATCGTCGAGCTGAACACATCTAAGGCGTTTTCATCGCTCTAGCATGCCTCTATCAAAAGTTATTTGCGAAAAACTGTTAGATACCATTCGTGACCTAAGATGACCTCAGGGCATAACCAAGGGTCACGGACACCATTTTCATGTTCAGTGTGTCTAAACCACTTGTAATTCGGTGTTTGGGAGTGTTTATAATGTCTTTCATCCAAAAGAGGCGCATTTCAATTTTCTCCCATTGACTTATAATGGGGAGGTCGTAAAATTGACCTGACCTTAGGTCATCGATATCAAAATTCTGAGATATACATTTTATACATGTTATTGCTCTTAGCAATCGCTGAAAGTTTCAAAGCGATCGGTCACTCGGTGTAGCTATGACAGACATTGAAACTTTTTATGAGGTGAGGTCACTTCAAGTGACCTGGGGACCTGACCTTGAATGTCCTTGGTCTGAAATTTTCACAACATGTGTAGAATTGATGTATGATAAGGTGTAACAAAAACGGCCGTTTTTGAGATATTAGCAAAAAACCACAAGGGAGGGGGGTGTTCAAACACCCCCCCCCCCCCCCCAGCAGGGCGCGGGTTAAGTGGTTATGGATTTCGGGCTGAAGCCTGCTCCATAACCACTTAACCAAAAAATATTTGACTAACCATTTCCTGTTATCTCTCCCACGCAATGCCTTCGGCACTGCAATGCTTCACTACGAGTATTTTGACGTCACTTTCCTTACAATTTTGTATCATCGTTAAATTCGCTCAATCCTATGACGTCACTTCTTTAGCAGCTTAGCATCATTCGTAAATTCTCTCAACCTTGGACGGTCTTTTGACGCGCGCACTGCGCAGTTCCGGTCGGAGGTCAGAGGTGAGAGGGATGGGTTGGTGGTGATGGTAAGTAGTAAATAGTGTACTGGTGCTTTTGAATTGGTTTCTAGAAGGAACTAGTGGGTGTCTACCTACATGCCAACTTTCAGCGCAATCGGCCAAGTAGTTACCGAGATATTGCAACAATTACAAAACTGACACCTCTTCGTTTTGCACGTGGCACGTGCATAAGGGGTCACCCACATGCATCGGGAATAGTCCAATACTTGGTAGAAGTAATGAAGCTACCCTACAAAAATTACCGCGTGTAAATCGGTCAAGTGGTTGCTGATATATAAGCCTCGCAAAAGCGTCCGCACGGCCGGCCGGCGGCCGACCGGCTGCTCATACTCAGAAATTTCCGTTAATCTAAGGGAAGACTAGGCTCGTTTCGCTCGCTCCGTGATAAGTATCAGAAATGAAATCAGGAGGCCTTAGAATATCTTGGGAATGGCTTTTACTTATCCGTCTGTTTTGCGGACCTAAAGTAAATGAATACCCAACCTTCTAGTTTTGACCTGAACCTGAGCTGAGAAAGAACAAATAATTGGTCTTGTGAGTACTAATTCATACGATGCTGAATATTTTTCGAGTGCAGTACACGGTGAGGCAACTAAAAGCAAAACCGCTCACCGCCGTGCCCACTGGCAGTTCGAGAGGCACAGTTTGAGCACTTGTCCCTCTCACAGCGCTCCAAATGTACGAAATTATACATTTTCCCTCGCATAGGAAGGAATTGCGAAGCCCAACAACCTTTACAAGACGAAGTTTGATTTAAAATGAACAAATAGGCATAACAGATCAAAATCCGATAAATTTTCGGAGAAGTAAAGATGAAGCACGTTATTGGGAACCCTCGCCCGTATAGGGGGGGGGGGGGTCGGACGGACACCCCCAAGGTTTTTCGCGAATAACTCGCGTAAAAAGCGGCCGATCGCGACGAAACTTTCAGTAGGGTAGGGTGGGGTAATTTGAACATATGGGGCAATTTGAACATAGTGTGAATAACAGAAAATTACGGAAAATCCATAAGTGGCATGACAATAAGACCAAGGAGAGAAATTATCGTAACTAAAAGGGCTATCATATGAACGGGGTTTAAAGTTTCAGGGAATGAAGATGTTGACGCACAGTGTAAAAAATCAATTTCGCAAGGAAAAACGCCTAACAACACGTCATTGCAACTTCATTGCAGCGCAAAATCTTGCATTGCTAGCGCCTAATACGCAACGGCTTTTGTTGTATAATGACCTAATCAGTGCCTTCAATCCAAGAAGTTTGCTTTTGAACCCTGTTTTTTAAAATGGCAAAATAACTTTTAGCGTGGGGTAATTTGAACATAGTGTGAGAATTTGAATGAAGACAGGGATAGCTCCGAAAAAAACAACGCTCCCAGTTTTTTTTGCCAATATTTTCGACCCAAGGCAGTAGCAGATAAGTGATGCCAGTTTTAGAAAATTTACGTCTAATATCCGTCTAATGTCCGGCATTTTTGTTGATTTTCCGTCAAAAAATGTTATTGTCAACTATTTGTCCAAATATGTCCGAAAATTATGCAGCTATCAACACTCAAAACCGTCATTTATATTGCTCATCATGTAATTTTACCAGCCGAAAAGTGTTCATTATATTGAGAGCTTAACAAGCTTTCCATTCGCCAATCAATGCTATGCACGATTACTTTATAAAAATCGCTGAAGTGTAGCAAGCCATCGTCCAATGTTGTCCAGTCTGCTACCTTTGTCCAACTAATTCTGAATTGGACATTGGACAAAATCAGAACTCCAAATGTCCAGGTTTCGATTGGCACCACTTTAACAGATGTAGTTCGGTTGCGAGAGTTTTTATCGAACAAAAATGATAGACGTTCGGTTAATTGAAGAGGGGCGAATTCTGTCAACTGACCGGTGTGCAGCGTGCAGATATTGATACTCTGCAACTGTTGTTTTTGCTGTTGTGTTGATTTTTCAAGTGAAG